TGTGCCTAGGCGAAAACCCAACATAAACTAAAAAACTCATAAATCGTTTAAAAAAAAAAGCTCATAAATAATGTTGACTGACTTTTCTCATGGAAGGTAATAAGGTATGGAGCAAAGAACGATCATCTTTTTCCAAAGCGTATCCGGTGAAAGATTTTCGTTGATTTTAAGACGTTTTCTAGGCATCACATAAATAAAAATGTAAGCTTCCAACTACTTTTGCCGAGAAAAACTTTCTTTTACCCAAGTGGCGTATCCGGTTAAAGATTTTCGTTGACTTTAAGAGGTTTTCTAGGCATTACGTAAATAAAAATGTAAGCTTTCAATTACTTTTGCCGACAAAACTTTCTTTTACCCAAGCGGCGTATCCGGTTAAAGGTTTTCGTTGACTTTCGGAGGTTTTCTAGATATTACATAAATAAAAATGTAATCTTTCAACTACTTTTGCCGACCAAACTTTCTTTTACCCATGGGGATGGGGGGCTATCCACCAACCTGCTGTTTCTAAGGTTAACATTTTCGAAGAAACCCCTTTTTTCTGGCAGGGCAAATTAGCCCCTCTACTAGTAAAGTTGTGGCATATCAATCCCTCTACTTTTTTTGGTTGCAACATACCCCCTCTAACCTATGCAAACAGCCGCTTTTCTAGCGACCGACGTAATCAAGCCGTTTCCATTCTTAGACTTTTAATTTTAAATAATTTTAATTCTTAAATTATTTAATATTTTTTTTAATCCTCAATTCTAAAAAAATGCATAATTTTTTCCCTTGCATCTATTAAATCACATGTGTACGCTAACTCAATCTAAAAATGACTTTTTTTATGAAGTGAAAATGACATCATATAATTAATTTACATGACCAAAAAATAATTTTTCATGATGTAAAAAAGATAATATGACAAATTAAGGTAACTCTACTTTTAATATTTTTTGTCCAATCAATCATAATAAGACATATGACCTTATTTTTAATTAAAATCTCATTTTATAATTTTTTATGCTTTTCCACGAATGGATTACGAATCCAAAGCTTTCTCTTTAATTTTGATACAAGGTAACGTGTCTTTTGCAAAATCCAAACTATACATCGCATATGAGCTCGAGTACCGTGAATGGAGGGCGGGCTTATTAGCACCTCTTAAATTATTAATG